CCAGTCCCAAAGAAGGGCAGTGCCAAAGAATGCCCCAACTATCGTACAATTGCATTCATTTCACACGCTAGCAAGGTTATGCTCAAAATCCTACATGGTAGGCTTCATCAGCATGTTGACCGAGAACTCCCAGAAGTACAAACTGGATTTCGAAGGGGCAGAGGAACTCGAGACCATGCGCTGGATTATGGAGAAAGCCAGAGAGTTCCAGAAAAACATCTACTTCTGCTTCATTGACTATGCAAAAGCCTTTGTCTATGTGGACCACAACAAACTATGGCAAGGCCTTAAAAAAATGGGAGTGCCTGATCACCTTATCTATCTTCTGATAAATCTATATATGGGACAGGAATCAACAGTTAGAACTGGATATGGAACAACTGGTTCAAAAGTGGGAAAGGAATACAACAAGGCTGTATATTGCCTCCCTGCTTATTTAACTTACAGTATATGCAGAATACATCATGCGAAAGGCCGAACTGGAGGAATCATAAACCAGAATTAAGATTGCCAGAAGAAATATCAACAACCTCTGATGTGCAGATGATACCACTCTGATGGCAGAAAGTGAGGAGGAATTAAAGAACCTCTTAATGTGGGTGAAAGAGGAGAGCGCAAAAAATGGTCTGAAGATCAACATCAAAAAACAAAGATCATGGCCACTGGTCCCATCACCTCCTGGCAAATAGAAGGGGAAGATATGAAGGCAGTTACAGATGTTACCTTCTTGGGCTCCATGATCACTGCAGATGATGACAGCAGCCATGACATTAAAAGACACCTGCTTCTTGGAAGGAAAGCGATGACAAACCTCAACACAACAGCATCTTCAAAAGCAGAGACATCACCTTGCCAACAAAGGTTTGCATAATCAAAGCTATGTTTTTTCCACTAGCGATGTATGGAAGTGAGAGCTGGACCATAAAGAAGACTGACCACCGAAGAATGGAAGCTTTGGAATTGTGGTTCTGGAGGAGACTCTTGAGAGCCCCCTATCCATTTTGAAGGAAATCAACCCTGACTGCTCACTGGAAGGACAGATCCTGAAGCTGAGGCTCCAATCCTTTGGCCATCTCATGAATAGAGGAGACTCCCTGGAAAAGACCCTGATGTTGGGAAAGTGTGAAGGCAGGCGGAGAAGGGGACGACAGAGGACGAGATGGATGGACAATGTCATTGAAGCTACCAACATGAATTTGACCCAACTCCGGGAGGCAGTGGAAGACAGGAGGGCCTGGCGTGCTCTGGTCCATGGGGTCACAAAGAGTCGGACACGACTTAACAACTAAACAACAACAAATATGAACAATAGCAATGTAACAACAACAGCCATAAGTTGACAACAATAACAGTTATTTGCACCTACACATACGATTTATAAGATCCTGATAAACAAATTAATTTGTTTAAATAATACTCAGGAGAGCTAGTTACTATTTGCATCTTGGTCAGTATTCCCAGAGTTTCTTGCTCTATAACAATAGCAATGTAACAACAACAGCCATAAGTTGACAACAATAACAGTTATTTGCACCTACACATACGATTTATAAGATCCTGATAAACAAATTAATTTGTTTAAATAATCCTCAGGAGAGCTAGTTACTATTTGCATCTTGATCAATATTCCCAGAGTTTCTTGCTCTATTCTTTTCAAGTTTCTCAGGCTTAACTGATGCTATTGGACCACAGTCACTTCCTGTTCTGATGCAGGCATTATCTCATCATAGTCAGCTTTTAAAACTGTATTCCAGTGCCGCTGTGATGCAGAAGAGCAGAACTGGGACATTCAGAAGTTTGCATGGGCTGTGCTCCATGCAGATGCAAAGCAGCCTTTCACAACCTGTTGCCATCTAGATGGCTTCATAGAATCATAGAATACTGTAATTCAGTTGAAAGGGGCCGATAAGGCCATCAAGTCCAACCCTTCCTGCTCAATGCAGGAATTCAAATCAAAGCAGATCTGAAAAATGGCATGGGCATGGCATCATATAGTTAGCATCCTCTAGGTCAGTGATTCCCAACCTTGGGTCCCTAGATTTTCTTGGACTAAAACTCCCAAAAGCCTTTACCCTTAGCTGTGCTAGCTGGGGTTTCTGGGAGTTGTAGTCCAAGAACATCTGAGAACTCAAGGCTGGGAACCACTCACTAGCTGTTCTTGCTAAGTATATATGAATAAGTTGAGTGTCCATTTCAGCAGCAGTTTGGGTGGTTAGGGTCAGGAGTCCCAGAAAATAGCACAGAAGCAATACCTGTAGGTTGCTTGTTTCTTACTATAATGTTATTGTCTAATATCATTTTTATCCCACTTTTTGTTCCAAAAATCCCATGCAGGAGCAAAATCCTCATGAAACACAGTAACATCGAGGGATAAAACAATACAATGGCAATAAAGCAATACAATATTTCATTAAAGTCACTAAAAGCTCTAGAGTTAGCTGATTCGACTGTCTGAGGGCAAAATGCTGGGGGGGGGTGTGAAGTCTTCAGCTGGCCATGGAAGTGACCTGGCTTTTTCCCTTCCCTTGATGGGGGGTTATGTCACAGGGTCGGTGCCACCGCAGGCCCTGCAGGGAGGCAGACAGTGGCCTTAGGGCAGGAATGGCTATGGGCTGCACACCCCAGATTCTCCAGGAAAATAGATTTGTTGTGTATATGGGAGATTAACTGCAGTTAGAAGCAAGAAAAAGGAGCATGGGGTCCCCAATCTCCCCTTCCTCCCTTCCCCACAAAACTAAATTGAACATGGTCTTTTAAAAACAGGAAACTTCAGATATTCTGGGCAGTTGCAGTCCGTGATGGATGTCGATAACAGAAAATGAGAGTAGTTGGGGTGCAGTAGATCGACTACATTTGTCCACTACAGTGGTGCCTCGCTTGATGATGTCAATTCCTTCCAGTGAAATCGCTGCAGAGCGAAAACATCGTCAAACGAAATAAAAAAGCCCATTGAAACACATTAAAACCCGGTTAATGCGTTCCAATGGGCTGAAAACTCACCGTCCAGCGAAGATCCTCCATAGGGGTGGCCATTTTCCATGCCTGTGCAGCGAGGAATCTGTCCCTAAGCACCAGCGGGGGGGGGGCATTTTCTTCAGCCGGTGACCATTTTGAAACCCAATGATCAGCTGTTTTTGATCGTCGTAAAGCGAAAATCGGTTCCTGAAGCAGGGAACTAATCATCGCTAAGCGAAATTCCCCCATTTAGACCATTGTTTTGCGATCGCAATTGCGATCACAAAAACCTCATCGTAAAGCGATTTCCTCGTTAAGCGAGGCAATCGTTAAGCAGGGCACGACTGTACTTTTATTTATTTATTTATTTATTTATTTTATTTTAAATGTGATATCTGCATAACAATGCATTGCTTTTAGTTTTAAAATCTTGTTTGTTTTCACCTTACAAGCTGCCTTGAGTCTTCTTAAGGAGAAAGGCTGGGTATAAGTATTTTTAATAAAAATAATAAAGTTTTTGCCTCAAGAGACCTGGATTCGAATCCCTGCTCAGCTATGCAAGTTCACTGGTAAGGGTGACGTTGGTAAAGCCACTTCTTAAATATTTCACATACATTGGAAACCTTACTAGGGTCACCATGAGTCGACCACAATAGGGTTTTCAAGTTAAGCAAAGTATTTGAGGTTTTACCAGGTCTACACCTCCTGTGAACTTCCATGGCAGCCGGAATTTGAATTCAGACCTCCAAGAGTCCCTCCAAGGGCACCCAGCAAGAGTGATTTTGTTCTTTCCTGCTGTTGCACTAAGTAGGAAAGGAGAGAAGGAGGAAGGCGTGAAAAAGAGAGATAAAAGCATAGCCAAAAAGGAGCAAGACAAAGGGAGCGGTCCCACCCATTGCTAGCTTGAGTCCTGTCCTGTTGGGCTGTGTTGATGGATGGCCAGGATTGACTGCTGAGCGGATTGCACCCTCTCCCTGGCGGGATGGCTTCAAGGAGTTAACTTGTGCGGCTTCAGCGCTCTCAGCTGGAAGCTGGTTACGGTCTCTGTCTTCAGAGGCTGAGCCTGTGACTTTGAGATAAGGCCATGCAATAATTTACAGAAGAGGAAACCAGGTCAAATGGTACAACCGGCTGAATGCCGTCCTGTCTCCTACAAGGACTTGGAACTTTGACTCAAAACCCAAAGGCAAGCAAGAAGCACAGCAAATTGGGCGAATGATTTCTATAGAGTAAGTTAACGCGCTATGGAAAGTGTTTGTTTCTTCTTTAGAGAGGGGTGACATGCATGCTGGCCGTTATTCCCCTTGGTTTAGGGAATGGGGCGTCCTGTCCTGCCAAAAATGGGATGCTTCAGCCATTTCTGCTGGGGTGGACTTTGTTCCAGTGGGGGAACCTGTTTTGTTCTTGTGTGCTGTTCCTTTGGTCAAGTATCAGTGCCAAAAGATGATGAGAATTGTAGTCCACTAGAGTCACACTTTCCCTATACCTGGCTTCCGTAAGTAATTCACCACTGTTAGAAATGTAGCAGTCAGGGTTTTTGAGTAGTCTACTTTCTCATGTGCTACCTTTCCATATGCAGGGAATTTTGAAAATGAGGAGAATTAAAAGTGCTTTCCCCCATCAGTACATATTCGTAAACAGCAAATGCAGTTGCCATAATTTCAGTTAGAATATGTGGATATGTAAGATCCATCTGCAGCCTGGAGTACTACAACCCACTTGAATATTGTTTGGGCTTGGTTTCTTCATCTTACTGCACAAATAGATGGTCTTTGGGTCAGAAACAGCTGCATAGCTCTGTGGTTTACGTTTAGGTCTCTGGCTGCAGAGCCAGAGGCTGGGAGCTGGATTTTCCACTGTGCCTCGTTGACAGACTGGACTCCATCTCTCCAATTCTAGATTACAAAACTCCCCAGTTCCAGATCTCCAGTTCTAGATTATAAATCTGAAAGAAACCTGAACTCAACATATGCCCAGGTTTAGTCTTAGAGATGACTCATGTGTTATTTCTAGGCTGAATATTAACAAATTCTGAGTAAGACTTTTATGGCTTAAGTGCATTAAGTCCATCATTAAGTGCAATAAGTCCATCAATAAGTTCAAAATGCACCATCTGCTGCATTCATGAATTTGGCCACTTTAAATTATAGCAATATATTCACCTAAAATGTACAGGCTAGAAGGACTCAAATCTGCTTGTTTCAGCAAAGTAGTTGTAAAATGTACTTTCCAATCATGAATTATTATATTTTCCCACATGGGGTTAGGTCCACAAGGACTTTGTGCCATAAACAATGTGAAGCAGAGCCGAATTAGGTCCCTCAAAATGAGGGCATCTTATATTCCAAACCTAGAAATTGTGTTTTTCCAAAACTATAATTCCAACAATTGTCTAGTCAGCTTGGCCAGTAATTGTGTTGACCCAAGGGGTTATGGGAGGTGTAGTCCAACCCCCCACCCCTTCCCAAATTTTCCTCATATTTATATTAAAGTGACTTTAACCTAGAAAACTTCAAACCTCTGCATGTTTATTCATTCTGTGTTCGTTTCAGAGTGTAGCATGATTTGAAATTATAAATGTTTATGAAATATAAGTAAAATTAAAAACAAATTAAAATGTTAAGATAATTTTTGCATATTTATTTATAGCATTTTACCCCATTCTTAAGCCTCCCCCCCAGATTTTGGCATTGGACTACATATTAATATCCAGCTCTAAGTCTTCTGTAATTTAAAACACAGAATGTCTGACTGCTAGTGTGTGTATGAGTTAGAAATGATGCCGGAGACCCGGCTTCATCTCCTAAGCATACAGCTCACCCTGGGCCAGTTGTTATTGTTCAGTATAACCTACCTTACATATTTTAAAAAGAAAATCTATATTCCAGTTTTCAGTGCAGTGAGTACAAGGCGTACAGTACCGTACTTGGCTTTCCTCCCCCTCTTTATCATCACAATGACCCTCTAAGGTGGGGTGGGCTGAGGAAATGATTAGCCCAAGGTCCATGGCTCAGTGGAGAATTGAATAAAGCTTTTCTTGGTTTTAGTCCAACCCCAGTGGTGCTCAATCATGGGTCCCCAGATGTTCTGGGATTACAATTTCCAGAAACAGCCAGCACAGTTAGAGGTGAAGGCTTCCGGGAGTTTTAGTCCAGGAACATCTGGCGACCCAAGGCTGGGAACTATTGCCCCAAACACTACACTACATTCGCTTTCAGTGTTGTAAAAGGAGGTCCATGTAGGCTGCCTTGAGCTTCTGAAAGACAAGCAGAACCCTGAAATGGGTTCTCATAAGTCACAGTTGTCTGGCATACAATTATTTAGTAAAGAACAGGCAAACTTTGCTAGTCTGGGTGCAAAACTGATAGTGACTCTGCTATATTCTGTTCCTCCCTATTTATCCAAAAGACAGAAGGTCTGTCTTCACTTTCCTTGTTTAACCACTAAAAGGGAAAGTAAATCAATGAAAGTAACATTGTTATTTATTTTTGGTTCATTTTTAACAAAGAAGGTCAACAAGGGTACTTGTGTTACAAGAACAATAATGTAAATATGGCGTTGTTGTGAGGTGTGTTTTTTCCCAAAAGCACACATAATGTTTCTACATTGTTGCAGGAATCTTACTTTGAAGAGGGTTGCCAGTCTACTGAGGATAATGCAGTAGTAAAATTACTTGTTACCCACACTTTCCAGTGTTGGGGGGAAATGGCCTGGGTACCCAGCCATAATTCCTGCAGAAACACCTAGTGCATTTCATACTACAGGAACTGTGCCTCTCAAAATATATACTGAAGTATCACTCGTTCAGCTTCTTGCCAGTTCTTAGCTTTTGGTCCACGGTACCAAGTCTGAAGAAGTGGCGCCATGTGTACTATCTTATCGTGCTTTCTCTTGTATGGAAGATAGCTCAGCTTTATCTGGAATCGGCAGGCTTGGGTTTGGGAGGCACTGAGTATCATCACAGTCACATGTTCTTTTTTTTTTGCTGGATAGACAATAACTTTACTAGACCACTAGAAAACCATATACTGTAATCTGCTAGCTTTCATAGATAAGATGCCCATTTTGTCAGACACATCCCAGTGTTTTAAGAGTCCAAAAGTTCTCCGCAGTTGGATTTGCCAGGCACGTTTCTTAGATGTCCGTTAGAAAGGATGCAGGCTCAATTGCAGTTGTGATTATAAAGGACGGTTGAGGAAGCTATTGATTGGATATTGGTCTCCCACTCCAGCTCCTCAAACAAAGAAATCCAGCTGTTATGCATATATCCCTCTGTGTGGCCTTTATTTGAAATGTCAAGTTTCTACTGGGCTGGGGATCAGGACGACACACAAAACCTGGACTGCTCCATCTGGGGTTTGAGGTGGAAATTCTTTATTGCCCTCACACAGTGGAGTGGTACGTCTGCAGTGCAATATTAGACCTCAAGCAATCGTAGAAATGAAAGCAGAAGAGCAGAAAGCTTCTCTTGCATGTCTCATCCTCTGATTGACACGAACCTCATCCCGCTGCTGCAATTATAGCCCCCGAGAAAGAAAAGCTCTTTGCATTGATCCATTGGGTTGGGGGATTGCATAGGAAATAGCAATTGCCTTTATTTATTTATTTATTTACAGTATTTTTTAGCCGCACCATTACCAGTGGCTTCTGGGCAGCGTACAACAATATTAAAACTTAAAAACATTTAAAAGACAATATAAAATATCCTATATTAAAACAATTCTTAAAACATTAATATTAATAAGTCCTGCTGCTCATGTGGTCAGCTAGAGAATAGTGTTTAAAATGCTGGCTAAGCAGATAGGTCTTTGCCTGGCGCCGAAAAGCCAAAAGTGTCGGAGCCAGGCGGATCTCTATAGGGAGGGCATTCCAAAGTTGGGGGGCAACAGCCGAGAAGGCCCTATTTCGACATGCCATCCCCCTCACCTCTTTCAGGGATGGCACCTTCAGAAGGGCCTCCTGGCCTGATCTTAGAGGACGGGCAGGCTCATACGGAAGAAGGCGGTCCTTAGGTAACCAGGTCCTAAGCCGTTTAGGGCTTTATATGTCAAAGTAAGCACTCTGAATTGAGCCTGAGCAGCAACTGTGCTACTCCTGGTCTTAGACTTGTGAGAAGACGCCTCCATCATCAGGATCAGACCAAAAATCGGACCACCATCCTATTTCCTACTATGGTCAAGCAGGCCCAGAGTTTGGAATCCCCAAATAATCCTATCAAAGGTATTTTATTCTATGTCCTAAAAGAGGAGTTTTATTGTAGGAGTTTTGTTCCAAACAATTTATAAGCTTTTTCAAGCTGTCCGAGGGCAAGAAAGAGCAGGTTTGTAGAAGGTCAGCAATTGGACTGCGTGTCACTGCCCTGCTATCCATTTTCTAGTCACAACATCACAGAATGACAGAAGTGTAGGGTTAGGAAGGGAGAAGGGCCTTTTAGTCCAGCCTTCGGGTGATGCAGGAAATTTTTAGCTTCACTGGCAGATGGCAACCCAATTTCCCTTTGAAGGCTCCCCCAACAGGAAGATGACACCACACTCTAAACTAGTATCAAACTGCTCTTATTGGCAGGATGTTTCTCCTCATATTTAGTCGAAAGTCTTCTTTCTTGTAGTTTGAATCTATTACCTCATGTCCTGCTTGCTGAAGGTTCAGGCGACATACTTGTTCCATCTTCCACATGATAGTGTTTCAGATATAGGAAGGGAACTATCATTTGCCCTGTCAGTCATCTCTTCTCCATTCTAAACATACCCAGCTCTCTCAACCGTTCCTCATAGTTCTTAGTTTCCACACCTTTCAATATTTCAATTGCTCTCCTTTGGAGGCCTTCCAGATTGTCAATATACTTCTTAAACTGTGGAGCCAAGGACTTGAGATAGTACTCCAGGTGAGATCTGACCATAGCTGAGTAGAGCGGTATTATTACTTCTCTTGATCTGGATTCTGTACTTTGGTTGAGACTGTCTCCCTTTTCCAGCTCTGATCCAATTAGTGTATATATGAAATCATTCATTTTTGCCTCAACATGTGGCTCTTTGTACTTTTTTTTGTTATTATGTGCTGCCAAATGGCATTCAACTTACGATTTGCACCTGAATAAGGTACATGAGATATTTAAGGAGTGGTTTTGCTAGCAACCCTTCCCACCGTGTGAATTTTGATGGCTGAGTGGGCATTTGAACCCACATTTCCATAGACCTAGTTTGCCACTTCATTTACTACATTTCCTTACACAGAAACAGGTGTACTATTTGTTGGTATTCTCGTCCTGTTTAGATAGATCGTTTTGGAGCTCTTTGCTGTAATCCCTGCTCCCTTTTGACCACCTTAACTCATTCAATGTAATGAACAGACCTGTTCTTATCCCCAGCTGTAGCAAACACATTAAAAAGCATTTGTCCTCTTCCTATAGAAGCTGCTGGCATGTGTTTGTCTTTTCTGAGAAACAAGTATCATAAAAACAGTGGCTCTGTGAATTTGAGGAAATGCATTGTAAACCATAAAAGCTCACACTGAAATAAGTGTTAGTCTTAAAAGTGCTCCAGTGCTCTCTCTTTGTTTATGGGGTGTGTGTGATGCTGAGAAGTAGGGTGCTAGCTTGCACAGGGCTCTTCTATTTCGGAGAAGGCATATTATTACGAGCATCCTGAGAAATCCTACTAGGGCTTCTTTTCAGATTAGGTCCTATTTTCGGGGAAACAGGGTAGTAGCACACTCTGCCTCATTATGTGTGAAATAACCCTGGGAAATATAGCAGTGACTGATGTGGTTTATAGTAAGACAAGTAATCTTAAAATTGTCTGAGTCCTACTTCTTATAGTTTCAAAATGTTTCTAAGATTTAAACACCAATATTGGATGTTCTTGTACAGAATATTGATTTATTAGACTTAGAAAGTTGTCTGCGGGGAAGACACAGCAGGAACAAACAAGAGGTTTGTCAGGAAAACCACATCTGTTTTCTGCCCAAACTGTGTAAAATGCTTTGGTCCAGCCCTGTCATGAGGAGAACTTTTTCATTTTCTTTTTTTTGAGTTTCAAGAACTCAAGAGTTTGGTGACATTGCTATTTTTAGGTTGCAAAGGAAGTTAAGTTGGCTCCATTCCTACATGGTTTTCAGTGGGTAGCTCAACTGGATTTTTTCACTAGGCCTTGGGCTCTTAAAAGTGGCTTTTGGCCCATTTTGAAATATTGTTGTGTTTCTACGATTGTTAATTGTGTTGTCATGTCGCTGTGTTGCGTTGTACCTTACTTTGGGGGTCCCACTGAGTAGAAAAGCAGTCTATATACTGTATATTACTTATGAATGACTGAATGCATTGGATGAAGCGTGCTTAAATCCTGAAGGCCAGGCCAGCCGGACTTGGAGATTTGCGATTTGATGCCAATTGGGGTGTGACAACTCGACTGTCAATGCCATGGGTCAATTTTAGAACAGAATGAAAACGTAATTCGTGGAACCAAGTGGGTGTTGTAAAAGGGCTGGCAGGATGTGGCTACGTTGAGAGAAAAACATTTAGAGTTCACACCTCAGTTCTTCGGGGGAAAGGCCGGGGGGGGGGAGGCAGCCATAGCCTTGATTGTTCCTTTTGATTGGCGTCAAAAACGTTCTCCCCTTTTCTAGCAACCCACAGTTGGCACAGGAGCCAAAATATGTACTTCTCTGGGGCAGGGGTGTCGGTGATGTGACAGGTGGGGAAGACTGAATGGTCTTATCCTGAATCAGCCTGAATGCCACAGGAAGGCAAAGAGCCTTTTAAACACATAGTCTCTGTATCCTTCCCTCCACCCCCTCCCCTCAGCTGTTCAGTTCAACATAAACACTTGTTGTAAGAGACTGGCCAGGAAGGAGGGGGGGGGAAGGGAAGAGATGGCCAAAATAAGAGTGTGATGTATACAGACAGCAAAGAGCAAGTGTCCACAGCAGGCTCTCTGACTCGTCTCTTGCTTCCCACTCCGTTTGAGTGTTATTTTCTTTTTCTCTTGCTCTCGCCTCCCCAGTTTCTTATTTTCATGAATGTCCCTCCCCTTTCTTTCTTTCTTGCTCTCGTTTGCTCCAGGACACAGGGCAGATCCCTGGGTGGCCGGTAAGTTCCCCTGCTTAGACGCGGGCCGTGCATGTGTATATGTGCATGATGGGGCAGGCGCCACATGTTGTCACAAAATCCGGCATGGTTGTGTGCGTTCCTAACTCCTTGCCTGCTCTGTTCAGTGCCTCTGCCTGCTTGATACCGGCATCAGCCATTGCATGGGGAACAGCGGATGATTTGAAAGGCACAGATTCAAATCGCCACTGAGACACGAGTGCAATCAGTCATCTTGGTTTGGTCTAATATTTTGACCTGATGTGCCTTGCAGAGCTGCTGCTCTAAGTGTGTAGCGGGAATGCCCTGTGTTGCTTCCCTAGGTGTTGGCTTATAAACATGGTAAGCTTTTGCTGACCCTATGCTAGCTTTTCAAACAAGCTCACATGCACACACGATGCAGCTCAATGGAGAGAGGAAGTTTCACAAGGTCAGATTTCAGAGAAGCAGCCAGGTTTGTCTGTTTCAGCAACAACGAAACCAAAACCAAAGCATCTATTTTGGCATGAGCTCTTGCTGAAATAAATTCAATGGTCTTTAATGTGCCATAAATTATTTCTATTGTGTTTTGCTTTTGCTGTGCCGAGAGGTGATTTTAGGTGTCTGGATAGTTCAGTGAGTTAGGTATCTGGCTGTGGAGCCAGAAGTTGGGAATTTGATTCCCCACGGACTGGGCAAACTGCACAGTCCCAGGGTGACCCCCAGAAGAAGGGAATGGCAAACCACTTTTGAATACTCTCTACCTAGAAAACCCTGGAAAATGTCAGAATTGACTTGTTGGTACAAAGTTATGATTATTAGAGGTGAGCTTAGCAAGCAGGTGGTGTATCATTTCTTTACCAACCTACCTGGCTCCATATATAAAATTTGCAGTGATCCCGTTATTTTGGTGTTGAGAAGGTGTTTGGGTCCCTGCATCTCAGTCCTGGCTGAAAAGATGTTAAGTGGAAAGCTTAGCGCACGTGGTGTCATGTGTTTCCACACACCTTTGTTCTGTTTGAATCAGTCTGGATCAGTTTCTTCTGTTAGTAGACACTCCTTAACTATCCCTTGGATGGATTACACTTTAAACATTTAACTCCATGAACACAGAGTGTATTTTTCAGCATAAGAAGCTTTACATTGGGGGAGAAGGAATTCTGGGGGGCCTTGGTTTGGGCAAGTCCTCCTCCTCCTCACACCTCTGTTCCTTGAGCCTCTATGTGTTCATCCCTACAAGCCCATTGTGGATGAACTGGAGAATAGCTGCAAAGCATTTCTCACATCATCACACTCCATAGCAAAAGACTTTCTCTTTTCAGTGTGAATGTATTTGGACTGCACTCCCATAAGCCCCAAAATAGTCCAGTGAGGAGCGAGGAAACTCAGTGGTCACAAAGATCACGGGGAAAATAGAGAACTGAAATGCAGGAGAAGAAAGTAGAGTTTCTGGAATCCTAGACAGCAACCCTCTATACTGCAACATTTTACTGCAGCTCTCCCGGGTTGTTGCCTCGTGATTTTTTCTCTCTCTGCATGTTTGGAGTTCAGTGCCAAAGATCATCCCTATTCTCAGGTTCAGAGGCTTTCCACCAGAAATCTTCACATACGTCAGTTACAGGATTGGTCTGGTGTGATCTGTGGCAGAAGGGGATTCGCTGCATTATATAAACCTGGGATTATATGGGGCGGAGGTGGTCTACATGTACACTAACCCATCCACTGTTTTCTGCTTTTCTTGATTTTGGTCAAACGAAGGAGCCTGGTGGTACTCAGACCTTCAATGTTTGTAATGGATCTTTGCTGGCTTTCATATCGGTATGCCCACAGATCTCGAAACCAGCTGGCTAATAGCTCTCCTTTTGCCTGTCCTTGGAATCTTTCATGCTGCCTCGGTTGACCTGAGGTTGGGATTAGGATCTTGTTTCGTCCCATGAGAGGGGAATTTCCTGTTTACATTCCTTGGCGCTAGTAAAAGCCTGTGCTGGACAGGAAATGGAAAAATCTGTTATAGGATGGTTAGGGTTGCCGGATCCAGGGGCTAAGGGTTGCCGGATCCAGGGGCTAAGAGGATTGCTGTAACTCTAAGATGTTCTCCAGAAGAAATGTTGGTGCAGTAGTCTTACATGAATAGGACAAGCTGAATGTGGCCTGAAGCTGGCGGTATACAGTGGTGCCCCGCATAGCGAGGTTAATCCGTTCCGGATTAACCCTCGCTATTGGAAACATTGCTCAACGAAACGAAAAAACCCATTGAAACGGATTAAACTTGGTTTAATCCGTTCCAATGGGCCCCGAAACTCACCGTTGAGCGATGCTTCCCTATGGCCGGCAGCCATTTTCGCGCCCTCCCCTCGCTTAGCGAGGGCGCGAAAACGCTGCGTGCGGCCATTTTGGGGCTTCCGGCGGCCATTTTGGAGCCACCGAACAGCTGATCCGCTGGTCGCAAAGTGAAGGTCGGTAAGCGAAACGCTTACTGACCTTCGCTATGCGATTTTCGGCCATAGAGGCCATCGCTTTGCGATCGCATTAGTGATAGCAAAAACGTCCTCGCTATGTGGATTCATCGTTCTACGGTGCGCTCGCTAAGCGAGGCACCACTGTAGCTGCTTTTGCTTTGTTCTGCCTTGTGCCTGAATGCCCTTCCCATAGGACTGTTTGTTGCCTTCAGTTGGACTGGCAGGACACGGGTTCAGATCTTTCCTCAGCTTGGGAATCTCTCCTAGCTAGAATGAATCCTGGCCAGTCATACTCCCTTAGCCTGTGGAGAAAGACATTTACAGGTTGGGATGCACAATACTGTATTCAAAACCAGAAAATTATCAAGTTTACAGCTGCATGTGCAACAGACCACCTAGTGGCCATTTTAGGACCAGTCAAAATAACTCTCGACAAATTGAATCTAAAATGAATGAGTAAAATAAGTTTTGAACAGCAGCAGTAGGTACTCTGTGGCACAAGGAGAGCTGCACTGACACCCCCCCAACAGTTACACACCTCTTGTTATAATAGTGGCAAGGTGGTCACAATGTCCAAATGTGGACTGACAGGATGGCTCATGCAAAAAGATACAAACCAAAAGATTTTTTTTTAAGCTGAAGGCATTTTTACAAACGGAAGCAGCTTTTAAAATGGGATTGTTTGTGTCTTGCCACTTTAAAAAATATGTTTTTAAACATGTTTTTCGGCCTGTGTCTGTTTATTGTTTTTAACATATTTGTTTAATATTTTTCAAATATTGCAATCATTTTTTGGTGTTAGCTTTTAATGCTGTTTCTTCTTAATGACGTAAACTGATTGGGTCCTTTTTAGGAGAGAGGTGGAATATATATAAACAAACAAACAAACAAATAAAAGCTGCAGCTCTGTGGTGCATGAGGCTAGCAGAGTGTCTCCCTGTGCCATAGAGCTCCTGGAAGTATAAGCCAGAGAGTCTCCTAGGATTCCATCACTAAAAGAAGGTGCAAGAAGGGTCATCTTGTTGCTTTACACTATAATTTTTAGATGGTGCTGATTTAGTGGGTGAGAGGGGCACACGGAATAGCAAAACCCAGGCCCAAGCACTACATATAGCTTGGAGAGCACAGGCTGCCTAAATTAATATACAGTTTTCCTGAGCAGGAGAACTTAATCCTGATAAACCCAGTTCTTACATATCACAAAAAGGCACAATAATCTGCATTCCATTTTAGCTATAATTCTTACCATGCCTTGCCAGACTCTGTTGATTGGAGCTTGTAGGATTTGTCATCAAGCGCATCTGGAATATGCCTGGTCAGTTTCCCCCAGTCTGTCACACACCATCATGAGTTTATAAACAAGGGATGTTGCTTGTAAAATATACAGGAGCCCCCTGCCAATAAGATGGAAAATCTAAAAAACAACAAAAATTATTTTTAAAAAATCAGATTACTATTAGACGCATCCAAGGTTAAAGATAAGGAACAGCTGGATGTTTATGCATGCCCACATTTCTGTACCAATAATTTTAGGATTAGGACTTGTCATTTAGGAAAGTTATAGGTTTTTACTACCGTTCTCAAAATCCCTCAGCCTTTACGGGAGGATCCAGGGTACAGTTGTCCAAAAGAGTAGCTTTTCAAGCTCTGAAAAAAACAAAACAAAAGCACAAACCAATATCCTTTCTCAGCTAAACAAACAAACAACGACATCTATAAACACACACTGACTCAGACCCTAATCGTTGGACCTATCTCTGTTGTGGCGAGGACAGACCAGGCCAAGGAACTGCGTAGGCTGCTCGTTGGAAGAAAGGTGTGATGTAAATGGAATAAATCAATTTTGTGTCGTTCATAAAGATCTGGAGGTGGCCTCATGAGAAGCCTCATGGCAGAAGCCCAATGGTGGTTGTAGACTGAAAACAAAATGGGGGCTGGGGAAAGCAAAAGTGATAGAGGCTTTGGGTGTGTGTGTGTGTAGACATTGAGTTGGGCATTTGTCATTGAGTTGTCCGGGGAGGTAGGAGATGGTTGTGTTTCTTCTCGGTCCCAACTCTAAATTCTCCCTCGCTCCTTCTCTCTAGCACTGGCACCACCTCCCCACGGACCACCCCAAGTAATTCCCCCTCCCTGCGGAAGCGCCTGCTGCAGTTGCCCCCACGGGCGCCTCCAGAATTGCCCTCGGAGACCATGGTGGAGAAGAGTTTGGAGAATACTGCGGAGCGGACCCCTCCACCAGGGCCCCCTCCCAGTACCCCTCTGAACTACCCCCTCAGTGGACGCAGCTTCATCCGTAACAACAAGGTAGGGTATGAGGACCAGTAAGACCACCCATGAGACAAGCAAGCTGGTGAAAGCATGGTGTATACACTGTATAAATGTACTATGGTATGTGCAATACAGGTAAATAACACTGTGTTTCCCTGAAAATAAGACAGGGTCTTGTATTAATTTTGCTCTAAAAACCGCATTAGGGCTTATTTTCAGGGGAGGTTTCAATTTTTTCATGTATAACCATCGACATTGATTCAAATACAGTCATGTCATCTTCTGGTTGCTGCACAAAGGGAGAGTGGAGTGGAGTTTCACTTATCTGGGGCTTATTTTGGGGTAGGGCTTATATGACGGGCATGCTGAAAAGTCATGCTAGGGCTTATTTTCAGGTTAGATTTTCGGGGAAACAAGTTAACTAAGCTGAAAAGCCATGCTAGGGCTTATTTTCAGGTTAGATTTTCGGGGAAACAAGTAAACTAATTGGGAGATTGGTAATTGCTGTGGAATAACGTGAAGAAAATGTCTTCTCCAATATAGAAACTTACCTGTGAATTTTGCTCATCTCCGCTTAAGATCTCACTGCTCACATGGGTCACCTGAAATTGATGAGACAATTTCCTGGTGGGTTTGGGGGCCATATTAAGTTGCTAAGGTAGTGTAAGTGCTCGTTGGATTTTCTGTCTCATGCACAGTGTATGACTTCATTAAAATATTTGACACTTGCTATGAGTTCTTAATGCAATAAAAACAGGAGGAAACTTTAGGCTTGTGGTGAGCTTCTCAACTCTCATTTGTTTGTTTACTTCTACTGTATTAGATTTTTCTCCAATATCTTCCAAAAATAAAAATCTGCCACTACAAATTGAAAGGATTATGGCAGCAAAAAGGCAGACTTAAAAAAAGTAGACTTTGTCTAGGGGGGCAGGGTAATAAAAAAGTAGCCTTTGTCTAGGGGGCTGGGGTAGAAGTCTAATAATAATAATAAACAAAAGATAAAAGGGAAGAGTCTAATACAGTAATAATAATAAACAAAAGATAAAAGGGAATTTAAGGACAGCCTCATGAGCAGGCACTATTAGCAAGTAACAAAATTCAAAAACTTTGATAGGATCTGAATAAAAATGCTAGAAGATCCCACTTTGAAAACAAGCAACAAGGAGGAGGTAACAGAAGCACAAACCCATACCCAACTTGGAAAATTATTTCTCAGGTTTCAACCCCCACAAGTAAAAAAGCCCTCTCACTTCCATGAACAAAGCCACCTTGAATGCCTGTTATGGTAGAAAGGCAGGCTGTAAATGAATTAAATAAGTAAATTTCTGCTGGCGATGGGCAGTCTTCCCATTCAGCTGCTCACCATTCTTGTGGCATCCCCTTCTCCTTCCCTTGCAACAGGCGCTCAGTGGTTGACCGGGCTGTCCCTACCATTAGGCAGAGTGAAGCCCTCACTCCAGGCAGCTGATGCTTGGATGTGGCAGCCATGAGGCTGGACGAGAGAGCTCTGACATAAAGCAGCTCTTAGGAGCAAAGTGGAGGCTCTAATCTCATTTTCTGTCATTCTGTGTGTGTTGTTTCCAAACAAATAGCTACTGTTCAGGGTCAGGGAGGAAATCTTGAATGCGTTTCCCAACAGAGAGGTCCCGTTCTTGAATGGGCTCTCCTCATCTTCCCCACATGGCTGTTGCCTATTTTTAATAGAAGGGATGCCCCCATTGATGTTAGTATGAACTCTCCTCATTTCAGGCATGCTCTCTCACGTCCGATTCAGATCGGGACTGTGGCAGCTTCTTTTCCTCCACATCATTATCCCAAAGCAGGTTCAGTTCTTTGCATAGCAGGGATGTGTTACAAACACATACATAAAGTGTCAAAAATGTGAATTTGCCAGATTAAATTGCCAGTTTAATTGCCAGAATCCTATGATTTATGCTCATCACTTGTAATTCCATTGGTGTAACCTTCAGCTGTAAATTGCCACAGGTCAAGACATTGCTACAGGCATTTGCTGTTAAACACTAGTAACATGACTCAACATGCAACTGCATGTGCCTATACTGACTTAGAATACTAATCTAAGAACTAAAGAGCTGGAAGAGACCCTATGGATCATCCAATTCAGCCTCTGTCAAGGAGCTACAGTGGGGGAGTCAAACTCCCAACCTCTAGCTCCACAGTCAGATGCCTAAACCACAGAGCTATCCAGCTTAACTGGTGGTTATTTGCAGCTGAAATGTGCACTGAGGGAATTCCACTGGTGTAATTTTTCTGCTGGATTCAGTCAATGTGCTTGACCAACCCTCAACAAAACAGTGAATGCCACACGGCAAAAGTTAACTGTGAAGAAGTCCACCTAGGAACATGGCTTCCCCCCTTTCTTCTTTGCAGTGCGTTCAGTCTGCGCATCGCATGCTCGGATGAGAAGGTGAGGAAGTTTTAACTCTGGAAAATCTGACTCATTTTCCTTCTCGTTCTGTTTCTTCCTCTTACGCTCTCCCTTTCCCACTCTCTCATTCTGAAATTAATAATTCTGCTTTGGACGGAACTTGCCCCGCCCCATGGAGACCCAGTTGCCATAGGGACCTAGAGATGCTGCTTTCTACAAGGTCCAACAGCCGTCCATCTGGCTCCCAACCTCCAATGCACAGCAGGTCGGCCAGGTCTCAAAAAAAAACCCCACCAAACAACAACTACATCAAAACCCCTTCTCACAGCAGGTCGGCCAGGTCTCAAAAAAACACACCAAACAACAACTACATCAAAACCCCTTTCCTGTCATCAGCTACCATATTCATTTTTAAACTGGCAGTAGTGTAGATGGGATCTGGAACTTTCCGCCTATTGAAGACCCATTCCTTAACACTGGGGCAGTTGACTGGCTGAAATGTCAGAAAAAGGATTCCCGCTCTCTATAAAAGCAAGTTGACTACAATGGCAGTCAATTAATTTTTCAAACACCGTCCATGGGATGGTGTCCCCCCTGCCCCAACCCAGAACCTAATGGCTGTTTCATGGGTTAAAAGGCAGCTTGCTCCTAATGTCGGCTGCCTGAGGTAACTGCCTCATCCTGGCTGATGACATTTCTGGCTCAGCCTCTCCTGATGTTCTTCATGTATTTTGACAAACATGATACACAAATATTAGCCCCTTTCTGGTTGTGCCCCAGTGAAGAGCTCTAATTTGGGTATATTTGGTAGGCTTCTCTTGAATCTTGTGCTTAAAGGGAGGATGGGTGGCAGGGAATAGTTCTGATCTTTTTTTCTGAGGTTTTAGGGTTTGATTAGTTTTTATTAATCTGTTTTCTTTGTTTTAATTATATTTCAAATTAATGGTTATCTGTTGTGCCCCTTGTCCTTTCCACTTATTTATTCATTGTTTTAGATGGTACACCTCTCAGGGTAGAATTTCTTGGTGTAAATTTTTGTACGAAGCCAAGCACGTTGATGACACTTCATAAATAAACAATGATGATGACAATGATGATAAGAAGGGCTTGCTTCCTTGTGTGAGTTACACGAACTTTTCTTTGTTTCTTTCAGAAAATGCAGAGCTGGTACAGTGTAAGTGATTACTGTTTTCTACCTTGTACAGAAGAGTAGACTTGAATTATACACCAGTTAAAAAGAACCGCCTACAAATGCAGTCTAAACTCTTTTTTTAGGAAGGCAGTCCGGTATAACTCAGTGGGGCTTATTTCTAAGTAAACAGGTTTAGCATGGCATGATTAAATTAGTTGTAACTAACATGTCCCGTTAACTTCAAACCTTCTCTATCTCTGAGTACTGAGAGACTTGGTACCTAATGCATGCATTTGAGATTGCAGCTAAAAGTTCATTTGAAGAACTGCAAAACTCCAAAAATTGTTGATACATGTCTGTGAGACACGATCTGGGTCTTGCTTGGAGTTGCAGATCCAGTGTCTATCAAGGCACCTTACAAATAGGATATGTCAGCAATATTTACCTCAGAAAAAAGAGTTGCCTCATTAATTGTGGATGTCTTTTAATTTGACCAAAGAACATTTAAATGACTGAAGCCTTAAAAATACATTTAAAGTGTGTACTATTATGTCATTTATTTATTCAATACCCAGGATTTCCAGGTTATGTACCAGATTCTTTTTTCCTCTTCTGTGTTTGTCCTCACAACAGTCCTGCTTGGTAGGTTAGTTGGAGAAGAAACGACTGGCCAAATGTCATTTGGGAGCTTCAGCGGAGGGTTTGAACTAGAGAGGGCCACAAACTGGAAAAACAGTGGTTTATGATGGTTGGTGGTTCATGGCTAACCATGAATCATAAACCACCATGAACCTCCAGAAAAACAAACTGGTTCATGGTTTCTTTTTCCAATTTGAGCCCCGGGCTGTGGGGGCCACTTGTTTCTTCCACCTCTGCTGCCATGGGTGCATGCTCAGAAGCTGTGGTTGGCTCTTGGCAGGGAAACCAGGCCCGCTTCCTCCGAGGGTGGCTCCTAGAGTGGGGGGCAGTGGCCAGGGATTAGGGTTAGGGTTAGCAAGTGGAATGCGGAAGGGAAAAAAATTTTTAGCGTTTTGTTTTGCTTCAGCAAAATGGGATCATGGAAGGGAAAATTTTTTTTAGCATTTTGTTTTGCTTCAGCAAAATGGGATCACCAAACCGGGCCATGAAATGAACCACGAAACAGTCCGGTTCATCCATTTTTTGGGGGGGTTCGTGGTTTGTTTTGTGCCCCATCTCTAATTGGAACCTCTGAGACAGTCTTTCTGAAACAAAAGTAGTCTAAGCACAAAGTTTTGAAGGGGGTGGATGCAGGGCAGGGGACTAAACAAACAAAGCACAAAACCTCGAGCTTTAAAATGAGGATGTAATTGTGCCTGACACTTAGGCAATTTTTTTTGGACTTGTGGTGTGTCAGAACATTTGGGCGCAGATTGCCTGGGGGAGCATTTTGAAGGCTCCTCTGAACAGAACGTCCTGCATATGGAGAATTAACCTAGAATAGTTGTCTATCCGTGATATGTATTTTTCCCCCAAACAATTGGGGAACATTGAAATACTGTACAGTATCTTCACTGTGTCCTCCGTCACTAGCATGCTGAAGTTAGTCCAGTCTCTCCACTCAGACCCTACCACCTTGTTTTGCTTCATATAAAAATCTAGATCAATGGTTCCCAACCTTGGACCCCCACGTGGTCTTGGATTAAAGCTCCCAGAAGCCTTCCCCATTAGTTCTGCTGGCCAGGATTTCTGAGAGCTATAGTCCAGGAATAGCTGGGAACCCAAGTTTGGGAAGCACTGATCATCACCTTGAATGAAATAAGTTTGTAAGGAAGGGGGTGATGAGAAGTGGGAGGCGAGAGGAATTAGTTAATGAGGTTAAGAGATGGGGGTGGACATCATTTCCACTCCACCATCTCACCTTATATTGCTTTTAATCTGCTGTTGACCTGTTTGTTTGGTGGTTAATCCTTTCTTCTTTGATACAATAGGTGTACTTATGAGAGTGGGGAAGGCATGGGTGTGAAGAAGGAAGGGAGCTGTTTGCTTGACTAAGTTATTTTAGTTGTATTTTTTTAATCTGTGTTTGTTTTGCTACTTTAGTTGAGCTGACCTGGAAATATTTAAAGGGCAGGATAGAAATCATTAAAGAAATCAACTCGACTTCTGACTTTTTCATACAAAAGATTCAAGATAAACATTGTTTTCTGAAGTGTAACAGGAATATAAGAACACGTAGGGAATTAATTTTGTGATGCTGATCATCAGAATAACTGAAGCGTTGTGTTGTGATTGTTATCCTAATAAGGAATAGCATTACTCCTTTTCATGCATAACTGTTGCTGCATTTTAAGTTAGAACTTGGGAGTAACTAGTTAGTTGTTACTCAGTTGGGACTTACTAGTTAATCAACTCCATAGTACAGTACTTTATAATTAACAAGGTACGTATGGTTTCACTGCTCAGGCATGTTTCACATCACAGGTCAGCGGCTTGTAACACTGTTGTTGATGAAAAGTTTATCGACTAAAATTATTTTGTAAAAGGTATCGTTACTTAGAGGTGCCTTGGAACTTAAACTGCAATTACTATTTTTTTGGAAAGCATTTTTCTTGGCTCTGCAGCGGGCATGTGCAGTGCATCGTTCTGTAACCATCCGATGAAGCCAGGGCATGTGCAGAGTGCCATTTCCTGGATCACTAGCTTAATGACAAGCTTTCTCTGCTCTCGCTTTCCGCCCACCTCCTGCACATTTCGAAGGAGGAGCCTCAGAGCAGATTCTCTCTCTCTCTCTCTCTGTTAATTTCCCTTTGCCCGGGCAGAGTCCTCCCGTGGGCAGGATGTGGTTAACTGCAGCCTGACACTTTCCTTCCCTCCCTCTCTCCCACCCCCCTGCCCGCCCGCTGCTTTTGTTTCCTGTCAGGGAGACCGGGCTGCCCTCAGCCAATGGCTGGGTGGTGTAACTGGAGCTGCCGCCTGCCCGAGCTGTCTCTTGGGGGAGGCCCTCTTCTTCTCCGCTCCCATGGTCTCCTGCAAAAAAAACTTTCCGCCACCCTTGCCTCCCTTTCGCTCCTGTTCCGAAGTTCTGCGCCCTCCTTTTGCCGTTCCTCTGCCATCGCCTCTCGGTGAAGATCCAGCCTCTGCAGGATCCCCCTGTCTCCTCCCTGGTATGCATTTTAGACCCTCCAGAACCCCTGCCTCTCCCTCCTCCCTGGTCTCCCTATTTTTGCACTCCTCTGATCCTCCCTTTCCAGCTGTTGCTGCTTTAACCCTTTGCTACCCCCACCCTGACCACGCCCACTTTCCCATCTCCTTTCGGTGCTGGTCTCCCACCCGGTCCTTCTCCTCTTGGCCTCTCTGGGACTTTTGCTGATGGTCTTCTCCCCCACCCCACCCCACCCCCAGGTTTCTGAATCCGGCACTCCTGCTTGCCTTTCCTCCCTTCGCCTCCAACAACCCATGCCTTTGTTGTCTGGACACCTCTTTGCCTTTTGGCTTGGGACTACTACGCCTTGGGGTCAACACCAGGAGTGGCCCATCAGCAGCGAGCTGCCGCAGCCCCCATTGGGACAGTGTAAGAGAGACCCCCCCTCCCTCTTGCTTGCTCCCTTCTCTTTTACTCTCAATTATCTTCCAGTGTTGCTCACTGCTGGCTTCTTGGGTTTTAGAAAATAAACCACATGCCTCAGCCTGCTGTCTAGCTGCCCTGCAGCCTCACTGCACAACTCTGTTGGCATCCTTCTTCATCTTAGCACCCCCTCCCTGATGATGCACCCTGGCTTTGCTAGGGTGGGTGCCCATTTCTTCCGGCAGATTACGGCCCCTTCCCCAGCCGGCGTCAGCTTGGGGGTGTTATCAGTCAGAAGGCATTCTTGTGGCCTTTCTGTCTTCCCTTAACAGATATTTTGATGGCAAGCAAAAAGGTAGGAGTGGCAATGATGATGATGATGATGGGGGAAACGGGAGAGTTGCAAGCTTCAAGAAGGTGACATTCAAAATGTCCAGCCAGGATTCCAGGGGAATTTCAAGCAGGAAAATTCCATACAAGTGTACCAGCTTCTGAGGTCTCCAGACCTCTTTGTTATGGACAGGAGTTTGACATCAGTTTTGGTGCTGGGCTTTTGTTGACGAGGTCATGACAAACACGCCTAAATCCTTTGGATTTCCATCAATCCTCCCCAACCTTCATTTCCTTGAGGATAGATTCTGGAGAATTCAGGAGCTTTCATGTTCTTCCAGTCTTTTAGCTGATCTTAATAAAGCAAATGCTCTGCTTCATATTTAGTTTGGGTCTCATGACGAAGTATGTCTCTTTTTGTTTTTATAAACAGAAAACAAGCTTGGCAGGAAAATCTCAGCTGGAAGTACCTTTGATCCTGCCCTTGTCTCCTTGAGGTGTCAGTGCTGCCTTCCTACATATTTTTTAGTGGGAGGCGGTAGGGGATGGTGGCTAAATTGGGGGAGCTAACCATCAAATCTCCGCTCATTTAATGGATGACCTTGGGCCAGTCTTTCTGAGACTGTTGTATCTTGCTGGACTGTTGCAAGGATAAGCAAGGAGATCCCTCTGTGTTGTTCTGAGCTTCTTTAGGGAGTTTAGTTGTTTTTAGTTTTCTAATGGCTCCCCATCTTCCTGGAAGTTCCTGCTTATCAGCTGGGAATTTATCTGTATTGCCCTGTGAACCGAATATCTCTTGGGAAGACAGTATAGTGGGATGGGGGCAAAGAAACCGCAGGGGAAGCTCCCATCCTGATGAGGTTGATTGCTCTTCACAGATGCTGAGCCCCACTTACAAGCAGCGCAATGAGGATTTCCGCAGGATCTTCAAGGGGCTGCCCGAAGCTGAACGACTCCTTGTAGGTGAGACACAGAAGGAGGAGATGGGGTGAGGAAGGATGATGCTTGTGCCCGGGGCCGATCCTCCTGTTTGATCCAATAAGGCACCTGCTTCAAGGTCAATTTCAGTTTACATCCCAACTAGAGCAGGCCTCATTGAAATGAATGGGGTTTGTTAGTCATTGTTGACCTAAAACTGCATTAGTTTCAATGAATCTACTCCAGGTAGTACTAAAATTGGGGTGAATACTATGTAGGGGAAGGAGGTAGCCATTTCATTAGTTATTAGTGTAATTTGTCCTGCAATGATGGGGCGAGATGTAGAATTTTCTGCCACTTGTATTAAAATATCTTGGCTGCTTTAGAATATCATGCACCTTGAACTGCCCGAAGAGGCAGGGAGCTATTGGCGTCTCTGGTTTAGGTAGCAAAAGGTCCTGAATAGCTGCAGCTCTGTCAGGTAAGGTCAATCTCATTTCAAAGCAGGTGAACTTATGAATGGCATAGCAAGGCAACTGGGGGATTAAGGGGGCAGGGTATGGGAATACACTTGAAGTCTGAGCAGCACAGGTTTGATTATACATGGATTCCCCCCAATAAATAAATAAATATATCAATTGATAAATAAATATTCAGTAAATAAATATTCAATAAATATGGTATTGATAGTTGTTGTGGGTTTTTTGGGCTGTTTGGCCGTGTTCTAAAGGTTTTTCTTCCTAACGTTTTGCCAGTCTCTGTGGCCAGAGAGGACAGGGGTCAGAGCACAGAACAGTGGAACAGAGCACAGACAGAGTTCAGACTCCTGTCCTCTGAAGATGCCGGCCACAGAGACTGGCGAAACGTTAGGAAGAAAAACCTTAAGAACACGGCCAAACAGCCCGGAAAACCCACAACAACCATTGGAGCCCGGCCGTGAAAGCCTTCGAGAAAATATTGTATTGTTGCTCGTCTCTAGGAAGTGGCTTGAGGAAGGTAAGTCTTGATCTTACTGAGCACCCTGTTGTTGTTGGTGCAGTGACCCCCTCTATGATGGTAGTGGTCCGGCTGTGCCCGCCCCCCCCCGCAATGTAGTGGTTGGAGAGGGACATGTTGGAAGACCAATACAGGTTCCGGAAAGTGTGTTTGTGTGTTAATCAACTGTTTATGCTTTGTAGTTATGTTTGGGGATGGGGGAAACATAAGAGTTATACACAGAGTTTGAACTACACAGGGGTCCGGCACAAATAACCCCAGCGTTGTGGAAGGGAAAAGTGTATTTATCTGGGACCTCTGGAGAACAAACAATGCAAACGACAGTACAGATTTTTTAAATCATCTGCACAATATGTATGGCTTTAAAGAGCACTTAATAAACCCTTTGTAAACCAAATTTGACTTTGTTCTGACTTTTTTTGCCCATAGGAATGCATTAATTCGATTTCAATGCATTCCTATGGGAAAACGCGTTTCGCAAGACAAATTTTTCGCAAGACAACATTAACCGCGGAACAAATTAAATTTGTCTTGCGGGGCACCACTGTACCTATTTTCTTTTTGTGTGTGGGAGAAACATTTTGTTTCCTTTCTTCCTTTCTTTTTGAGAAAAACTGACGTATTTCTGTTTCTTGCAATGGTTGGGATCCTGAGATCGCTCCTGCTGGTGGAGCTTCCCTGGAGGAGGAAGCCACTCCAGAGGAATTCCAGCAGAAGGGTGGAGAAGCACCTTTCAATGAACCCTGTCCTATCTGTCTTTAAATACCTCAATTGCTGTCATGTGGAAGATAAATGTTTTCTGTCCAGAGGGCAGGATGAAAACCAGCACAGACGGGAGAAGTTAGGTCCCCGGCTGCAGAGGGAGAGGCTGGGAGCTCAATTCTCCGCTGTTCCTCCTTGACAGGGTCCAAAACCAGTGATTCGTAGGGTCCCTTCCAGCTCTGCACTTCTAAAATATTCTAAGGTGTAATATTTTTTTCTAGTCTACCTCCCAGAATGCATCAGCCAGGACCTATTGTTCATAAACTGTTCCATCTCTGAAAGCCAATGGATAGAAATGGCAGTGGAATCAGATTTCAACTGAACATTAAGAAAAAAAAAACTTTTCCACAGTAAGAGGTTTTCTTGATGGAACAGATTGCCTGTGGATAGGTGATGCCTCCTTTACCAGTAGCATTTAAACAGACACTGGGCAGCGTTTTGCCATTGCATCCTGCATTACAGATCCTGCACTGAACTGGGGGTTGGACTAGATGGCCTCTCTGACCCCCTTCCAGCACATGTATGAGCCTGTGACTACTGGAAGCATTTCCCTTAAAGCAAGCCAGAGGAACTTGCGGACCACACTTTGTTGTTGGACCTCCTATCAGCCATATCCGTCCTAGCCAAGGATGAGGCATGATGGGAACTGTAGTTCAACAACTTCTGGAGATAATGGCCCTGTCCTAAAAGAACGACTGGTTCTGTATCAACCCACCTGGACCCTCACATCCCTGATGCTGCCTTTCCCTGAACACCCTCAAAGTGATACAGGTGCGAGCCAGAGAAGGCGTGTGCCGCAGCTGTGATTCCTGGCCTCATTTTTCATTTTTTGCTCTCCAGGTTAAGTTTTGTTGTTATTCAGCCAGGCTTATTACAGATGGCCTGTCTATTTTTAAACAGAACTCTCTATTCTGCTGTTTGTTGTTGTTTTCATTTTTAAAAAAGTCATGTTTTTATGTGCTGATAAATTACCCTGATGCAGAGCAATAAATAATTTACATGCCTAAACCACAGAGCTATCCAGCAATTCAGTAAAGATGATGGCGGTAGTAATGATCATCCTAATTTTAGCCATTGTCCAGCAGCTGCAGCGTACAACCCTCTCAGCTACAGGTGTGTGTTCCCCACACATACCTGTTGTTCCCCTTGTCTCTGTTTGCAGCCGTCACAACCCTCTCAGCTACAGGTGTGTGTTCCCCACACATACCTGTTGTTCCCCTTGTCTCTGTTTGCAGCCGTCACTCCCCTCCCTCTTTCTCTCATCCAGCTCCTTGCTCTTGGCTGGTAACCTTTCCCCTCTTTGCAGATTATTCGTGTGCATTGCAGCGTGACATCTTGCTCCAAGGACGACTCTACCTGTCGGAAAACTGGATCTGCTTTTACAGCAACATCTTCCGCTGGGAGACCACGGTGAGGGGCCTTGGCAGAGGGAAAGGATCTGGGGTGGGCGAGACCCTTTGCCTTACAGCAGTTGACCCTTGTCTTGCCCTCCCATCCTAGATTTCTATTCAGCTCAAGGACGTGAAATGCATCAAGAAGGAGAAGACAGCCAAGCTGATCCCCAACGCCATTCAGATTTGCACGGAGACTGAAAAGGTGGGTTTGTGAGTGCCATCTGGGCCCATCTCTAGATGGACAATGCAGTTTCAAAGATTCTCAGTGGTGTGAAGCAAAAAGTGTTCTGCTTGTATATCACCCCATAGTGTGTAAATCTCTGGGAGTTTGTAAAGTAATTATTTAGGCTACACATTGTCTCTCCCCCAGTAGGATGGGTACTCAATTAACCAACCTTGGAAGGACAGAAGGCGGAGTCAGCCTTGAGCTGGCTACCTGAGACTGTTGGGATTGAACTCAGATTGTGAGCAGAGCCTTGAATGCAGTACTGCAGTTTAACCGGTGTGCCACAAGGGTTCTTACTCAAAATAATCTGAGATTAGGCTTGCTGGCTCTCTCCAGCCTCTGACCCCAAGAGTCTGCCAGCGTGGGTCCACACTTGGTGGAGTTTTTAATTTATTACATTGCCTCTTAACTTTGTACCTATAGCTACTGCATCTTCACTTCAGTATGGGCAGAACATGGTTGCTCTATGTGATCACTTAAGGGCAGCCTCACAAGCAGTTCAACCTGGTGAGCAGGCTGTTTGTATCTACTGACAAAGCAACCGACTCTATGCTCATCCATGTTATGACATGAAAGAGGGAAACCCTTTGCATGACTGACTTCATGTGATCATTTTCCCCCAGGAGGATCATGGTCTTGTGCTCAGTTGCCACTTCATCTTTTTGTTCATGCACATACCTGATTTCCAGCCATCCTAAACTAAGTGACCTCCAGTAGTTTTGGGTTGCTGTTTCCATCTCCCTGACCATTGAGCATGTTGATTGTGCCTCTAGAAAGTTTTAGTGCAAACATTTGTGGGCACCAGGTTTGGGAAGTATGCCCAATCTGATGGAATAATCATATGTATTTGCATCTGGTTTATTTTACCCACACATGTTTCTGTGTGGTTTTGTCTGTGAGCCTTGGCAGGGCTCTTGCAGAACATAGCCTGTCTCTCCCCATCTCTCTGTTTCTCACTTATAGAACCGTAGGATTTGTGACCCTCCAAGCCAGATGCAATATCTGGTCACCAAAGGGCTTCTTAAACTGTTTGTTTTGGCTCCCTGCATGGGACTGCAATACTGGGGGGATGGCCAGTTACCTCCCAGGACAAGATTTTTTAGCTAGTAGTCTGTTTAGAGCTTGGTGAGACACACTTTGTATAGTCCCTGTGTGCCTTTCAGGTTTATAATATATTGGCCCAAATCTTCTTACCTGGTTGTGTTTCTCCTGCACAGAAAGCACATTGCACCAAGTTAAGAAATCACTGTAGACGTTATCAGTTGCAAACTGCAGTTGTGTAACTTGGCATGCAACTGAACGTCTACAATGATTTTTTAACTTGGGGTGATGCACCTCCAAAGGGTACTCCATTTGCAGTTGTGTAAGAGGATTTAGATTTTTGTATACTGTACTTGTGCAGTAAAGGGTTAGGCAATATGTGACAACCCTGCCCATTTTTTGACCTCTCTGTCCCACCTGGCTAAAATTGCAGTGGCTGTGGCACAAACCCCCCCCCCCAATGATTTCCTTTTAAATCAGTGCCCATAGGGAATATATGGACCTTTGGGGGGAAAAAGCTGAATCACATTCTCAGATGCCTACTGGAAGCATGCTTTGTTTTCAAGAAACACAGTCAATGGAGAGCTTGCTCCCAAGGAAGTGGAAACCACACCCAAGGACCAATGTGAAACGGTGTAAGAGCATGCAAGGTGGCTAGACTCTAAGGGAGCATTTGGAAAGTGCCATCCCCTCCTCTTTGTCCCAGCCTTTCTACTTGTGTACAATCCACCGATCATCCTGAGCACATTGGGTCTGATCTGCTTATCTCTGCTGCCCAGCACATTTTGAAGCACAGGGACATAGCATGCAAGGGCGAGCCCAAATGCTCTACTGTTTGCCTCTCCCCGAGCCAAAGTCACAGTTTGGAACAGAGATAAACAGATGATCTTTGCCCTGTGCCTCTCTTTGTTCTCCCCGCCTGTGGACTGCTCCTTGACTGAAGTGGTCTCTATCTGGGCTGGCTGTGCTTTGCAGAGATTCATCTCTGCAGAGATCTCGGCGTCCCCCTTTCCCCATATCTCCTCCTCCTTTCACCGCTTTGACTCTCCTCTCCTCCCTAGAGGTGCAATGTCCTATAAAGGAGGAAGTCCAGGAGAACTGCGGGTGATGTGTTCTCCAAGGACGTGTGCTCAGAATCGGTTAACGTGGATTTATGTCTCCATAAACCCATTTATTTACCATACTGTACCGGCTGTGAAAATGATTAAAGAATGATTGACAGATTCTCCCTGCCCCCATTCCCTCTTTGTGCATGCACTCAGTGGCTGTCAGGAATCTAATCTCCCCTAGCAATTCTTGATCATGCACAGGCAATGGGATGTAGTCGCTGCAGTTTAATTAATCCAGTGCAGCTAGCAGGAAAAGTGAGTTGGCATAACAGACACCTCATAGTTGTCGTAATTAAGCCAATTCCCTATCTGTCACCAGTGATCCAATAGGCTGTTTTTGTTTGGCTTGAGGCTTCTGAAATGGGGGAGAATTTAGAAATTATATTCCCTGCCTACAACCTGAATTGGTAGTTCATTTCAGAATTGGGTTCAATGTGCTATTTTAGGGCTCTGCCGCCTAGACTTTGACAAGGAAGGGGAGCAAGGATGGAATTAGGCCAGACCATCAAGTGTAAGGATGGGTCAGATGAATGAGTGGAGACCAAGACCAAGATTATCCATACTCTCATGTTTCCAATCACCATGTAAGGAAGGGTGCGAAAGCTGAAACGTAAAGAAAATAGGAAAAAAATTATTTGTTTGAAATGTGGTGTTGGAGGAGAGCTTTGCCGATACCCTGGGCTGCCAGAAGGATCAACAAATCAAGTCTGAATGATCTTGAAGGCAAAAATGTTGAAACTGAGGCTGTCCTACTTTGGACACATCCTGAGAAGACAATGATGCTGGGAAAGGTGGAAGGCAGCAGGAAAAGAGGAAGACCAAATATGATATGGATTAACTCCCTAAAGGAAGCGACAGGCTTGAGTTTACAAGAGGTTGGGCTGTTGAGGACATTTTGGAGATCACTCGTTCAAAGGGTAGCTGAGAGTCTGACTTGAAGGCACACAACAACTGCAACAACCACCTCATTGTGCTGTACTGATAGTTCAGATTCTCCTTCACACACTTTCATATTTTTTTTCTGCTGCTGCTTCAGACACACCCTCGGAATCATGAGACCTAGCAAGTTCCTTTTTAAACTTCTGTTTTGATGGATTGCTGATAGTTGTTCATGGATGGTCAAAGGATAACAACATAGTTGTAAATAAAACAAAATGTCTGACTTGATAATGCATGCAGGATTCATGTGACAGAGTGAGATGCATTATACATTGATAGCATTTAAAAAAAAAATAGGATTTTTGGGAAGCTGAATCTAGTGGGCAGTTCTACCCTATTATGTGGTCCCAAGGTATAATGGTTGATGCCAATGCGTAGGTAGAATTAATATTCCTCATTAAAATATTTATCTTGGGTCCAGGCTCATACTTTTCCCCCCTTGCTTCCGATTTGCAGCATTTCTTCACCTCGTTTGGTGCCCGTGATCGTTGCTTTATGCTGATCTTTCGCCTCTGGCAGAATGCACTCCTAGAAAAGGTAAGAACAGACATGTAAACAATGGCAGTACTTAGCTTATTCACCTGGGGACCCAGTGTTAGTAATAATTTCACATTTTTGGTGTGATTTCTGACACAGAGCTCGTGTGTGTGTGTGTATCTGTGAAGCCTATACGTAGTCTCGTAATTAGGGAGCCTCATGACTCAGTGATTAAAGTGAGATCTGATCCCCCATGGATACTGCGATCCTACTGTATATTATAACTCCAGGTCTATTGGCACACCTTTATGTCAAGCTTTCTCCCCTTATTTGTTCATACCAGCAAAGTTTAGTAAGATAATTATCTTCTATTATTAATGTCAAAACTCTGATGGAGAGGTTTAATACTGAACGTTGAATTCTAGACTGGAATGTATGTGTCTGTATATCTGTGTTAGGACCAAACAAATAAGGCTGGACTGATTATGAACTATTTGTCAGCGTTTGGGATGTGCCGTTTGGAATTTTTGGACTCCAGCTCCTTGAATTCTGGTTTCTGAGAGTTCCACTTGTTAAGAGCCACACACACACTCGTTTCAAGAAAGCCTTAGCTGAACAGGTCAAAAATGTGGCACCCAGATTGGTAACTGGGCCTGGTCACAGGGATCACATGACTTCCCTGTTGCAGCAGCACTGTTGGCTGCCAATATGCACAATTCAAAGTTCAGATTTTAACCTATAAAGCCCTAAACGGCTTGGGTCCGAGCTATCTCAAAGACCGCATCTCCCATTATGAGCCTTCCTGGGTGTTAAGATCATGAGGGGAGGCCTTGCTCTTGGTCCCACCACCTTTCCAGTTGTGTTTAGTGGGATCACAGTAGAGGACCTTCTCAGTTGCTGCTCCTTAGACTTTGGAACTCCCTCCCACTGGAGGCCAGGCTGGCCCCATCTTAGATGGCCTCCTGCAAGCAGATAGATGGCCTAGTTCCAACCTGACTTTTTTTTAAAAAAAACTTTGTTTAAAAACAAAGAAGCTGCCCCCCATCTAGATGCTGTCTATATGCGTGGGTCTATCAGGTGGAACTCCTCGAATTTTCCATTCTGGGAACATGAGTCTAAAAAGCGCGAATGGCACATTCTTAGTCAGGGTTCAACGGCAATAGGTCATCTTTCCACTTCTTCCCTTCCTTTCTTTGTCTAATACCAGCAATTGTCCCCTCGAGAGCTCTGGCACATCGTTCACCAGTGCTACGGCTCTGAACTTGGTCTCACCAGTGAGGATGATGATTATGTCTCTCCGGTCGATGAAATCAATGGTTTGGGGTAAGCATTTGCTACCTAGCAGAGAACATCATCCCTCTGACCTTATCAAAGCCCAAGGTGTGAGCGGAACTGTGCGGGGTTATACTTACTGGATTATTGGTGGCATGGATATGCTGCTTTTGTTCCCTTGAACTCAAGGAAGGATATTGGCTCTCATTTTTCCACTTGTATCCCCCTGATAACCTTGGTAAGGCAGATCAGGATGGGAGTGGGTGGCAGGCCCAAAGCCACTCAGTGATTTTTCATGGGGAGTAGAAACTGGATCCCCAAAACCCTAATCAATGCACAAGATTCTGGCTCCTTAGCAGCAGCAGGCAAACTGGTGCCCCACAGATTGTTTTTGTCCTCTAAAACAGTGCTCCCCAACCTTGGGCCTCCAGCTGTTCTTGGACTACAACTCCCAGAAGCCTTCACCACCATCTCTGCTGGCCAGGATTTCTGGGAGTTGAAGTCCAAGAACATCTGGAGGCCCAAGGTTGGGGAACCACTGCTCTAAAAAAACTCTTAGGGGGATCGCGTTCCATATCTGTGAAACTTGTCGAGCACCCAAGAAGCTAGGGTTGGATGGTGATCTGGGCACTACAGGCGTTTGATATTTTGCTGCTCCAAGGTGCCATGTTGTGTGGTTATCTTACAGTGGCACAAAATATGTTTGAGTGCACCTCTTCATTCAAGGGCTTGTTATACCCTATGTTGTATCTCAGTGTCCCCTGTGACTAGAGAAATTATCGTGCTAAGCTAGACTTTGTTGCAGCTATTTATTTAGCTGTATATTTTCCTGAGGACAACCAACGAAACCAAGCTATGTTTTCCCATTTCTCTTTTGTTTCTGTCCTCTCCTTCTCCTGGAATTTGGAAGCCAGTAGCAAACTATGGCTTCTGACTGTGATAACCATGATTTATTTGGGGGGACAAAATGACAAACCAGGATTCAGCAAATTACAGTCTGGCTTGCTGTTACTTGCAAGCCTAGTCAGTGCATGAGATCCTAAGATGTAGTTCTTTGATTTGTTGGCATTCCAGAAAAAAAATCACGTTTTATGCATCAGCAAATTGGGGTGGAGGGGGTACCTTCCATATTCTTGATTCCTTTCTTACACCAGCTTTGCTCACCCAAAGGCTCCTTTTGATTCTGATTTTCTCCACCTTGCGTGGCTCTCATTTCTAATAGGACCAGCAAAGAGATTGGCGATGTCATCGACTTGAGTGACTTGACTTCCCGTTGCAGTGCAGACCTCAAGCTGGACACCAGCCCCCTCCTGGACAAAAGGGAGGCCAGTCAGAGCATCACCTCACTGGCCAGCAGCAGCGATGGAACCACCTCAGTGAGGACATTAGGGTTTTAGATGAGGGATTTGAATTTTGTGCAAATAGACTCCCAAATGTTCTGCAGTTGGAATTAAGAAGACAGTAGGACCCTCATATCCGTGGGATTGGTATCTGTAGTTTTACTTATTCACGTCTGAAAATATTAAAATATTAAAAGAAAAAACTAGAAATATGTATTTTCAGGATGTATTTACCAGACAAAGGCCATGCTATACATTCTTGTTCTTGAAGAATAAAATAGCATGGTCTCTAGTAACCAGTTCTGGTAAATACATCATGGAAGTACTTTTCTTTTCCCATGTTATGTGTAGCATTTGCTTTTATCTGCAATTTTCACCATTGGGGGGTGGGTGGGTTTGGAATTAATCCCACATGGATATAGGGGCGTCCTACTGTACAAAATACAGTGGTACCTCGCTTAACGAGGATAATCTGTTCCAGCGAAATCACTGTAGAGCGAAATCCTCGTTAAGCGAAATAAAAAATTCCATTGAAACGCACTGAAACCCCGTTCACTGCGTTCCAATGGGCTGAAAAACTCACCGTCCAGCAAAGATACTCCATACGGGCGAGCATTTTTGGTGCCTGTAAAGCAAGGAATCCGTCCAAAAACACAGCGGGGAGCCATTTTACACAGCAGAAGGCCATTTCGAAGCAGCCGATCAGCTGTTTTAAAAACGTCGTACTGCGAAGAATCGGTTCCCGAAGCAGGGAACTGATTATTGCAAAGCGGATTTTGCCTATTAAAACATCGTCAAGCGATTGCAAAACAGTCATCGTATAGTGGTTTCATCGTTTAACGAGGTAATTGTTAAGCGAGGCACCACTGTAGACCAATTTGCACAGACTGCTTTGCTTTGCATACATTCCCATTCCTCTGACCCTGGGAATGTTATTTTCCTTCTCGACTTCATGTCCACAATAGGCTGGTTGAATAAATTTCTTTATTTCAGTGTGCTATAGTACCTGTAGTACCTGGGGCTGGCAAAGCCTAGAAAAGTTTGGAATACAGCTGCCACAGTCCTGCAGCCCACAGTCCTCCTGGCCATCTGTACTGGGATTCAGGAAGTGATGACCCAAACAATACAGTCTAGTTAAGTTTTCCCAGACCTCCAGATTTGTTGTACTTCAACTCTCATCATATTAACGCCTCTAAAGCAGTCTGTAAATGACATATTTCTCCACATATCATTCCATGTACATATGTGTAATAAGATGCATGAATCTGCCACATAGGAAAAAACAAACCCAGTTTTTAAATAAATACAGTATTTTTTACCTTGTTATTTGTATCCTAAAGACATGCACGTCTCAAAGTCAAGTAAAGGGGATGAAAGAACCAAGTACAAAAGAAAGAATAATTCCCCACTAATTAAAATAAAAAATATGTCTGAGAAAGAAGTCTAAATAAATTCAGACTGATTGATTTTATTTCACTTAATAAAAGCATTTTACCTCCTGCTGCCAAAACAGATACATTTTTCAATTCATCTTTGAATATACGGAGTATTTTTAGATTTCTGGCTGTGCTAGATTGCTGTTTCAACAGCCAGAAATGTTCTCTGCCTCTGTAGTTGTTATTTAGAAGAGTTCTCCAGAGAGAATCCTCAAAAAAAGTAGACATGTCTACACTTCTTGTTAAAATTGCTCCTAGTATGTGACAAAGAATACTTGTTGAAAAGCTACAGATTTATATCATAATGCTGCATGCATCTATTCAGAAGGCCCATTCAGTTCAGTCTTGACTATTCCGAAATAAGTGGTTATAGGATTATAGCCTCGAATAACTGCAGTGCTTTGTCAGTCCCCAGAAAAGGAGATCTGTACTAAGAGATAGGTGTGCATAACTCAACCTCATGGATTTGTGTGTGTGTTTTTTCATTATTAGAAGTCTAAAATCCTAAATGCAAAATAATGGCTCAGGAAGGGTAGTGTATGTCTAGAATTAAAGGAGGCAGTCTCTACCAGAAGGGAGATTCCTTTATTTAGATGCACAACCATGTGTTGTGTGTTTTTGCGCATTGTACAGATAGTCTTCCCTGTAGCAGTTTCTTACAGCAACTGTTTTTTGAGTTGATATGTATGTGTGTATATATACACTTTTCCCTTCAACAACTCTGGGGGTTAGGGGGCCTACCGCTATCAGACTGGGGGCCACCACATTGCCAATGGCAGGAGCCTAGGTAAGCCTGAGACCCACCTTTCTCAGGCCACGACCTGGAGATGAATAGCGGCATACTATTTATTGAATATGTATATATTTATTGAAGAAAACTCTGTGTATAATCAAAACTGTGCTACTCAGATCTGTGCAATTCAAGGGAGAACTGTAAATATATGTTTAGATGACACGTGGTTTGTGTGTCTCAGAGGGATGATATGCTTCTCTCTGAGAAGGCAAGTGTGTTGTTGCTCTATATAGCGCAACATAAGTCTTTCTCTTGGTCATCTTTTTTCTGGAATTCTGAGAGGCGTTGTATAAAAGAAACTTTTCAAGCTCTCAGAGGAAGTAAAGAGATAAAATGGAGCAGATTCAGAGTGGATAAGAGAGATAAGTAAAGTCAGATAAGTAAAAAGCAAAAGCAAGGCAAAGCGCTTCAAGCACTCTCTGGGCGGTTTACAATTTAGTTATGCAAGCTACACATCCCCCCCCCCCAGTAAGCTGGGTAATCATTTTACTGACCTCGGAAGGATGGAAGGCTGAGCCAACCTTGAGCTGCTACCTGGGATTGAACCCCAGGTCGTGAGCACAGTTTTGGCTGCAGTACAGCAGTTTAACCACTGTGCCACAAGGCTCTAAAATGTGCTAACCACCACTGCTTGTCATCATATCCCACTATCTGCTCTCTATTGGCCATCAAAGTTTTGTTAAGCATTGGCAGGTCATGTTTTGGATGTCAGATGCTGAGGCTGAGTTTCAGGTCAGGGATTCACCCAGTAGTATTATGTGCAGACAATACCTGAGGGAGATTTGCCCCTCGTATGTGTTAGGGAGGGTGGCGCCTCTGAGGGGGTTCGCCTCCAATGTGTGACTGAGCCTGCCCTTTGTTTTCCTTCCAGCTGGCAGAGGACCCGGAGGAGAACACAGACAGCCAGGTGGATGCCTCATCCAGCCACACCGTGACCTCAGCTACGGAGCCCCCCCAAGACAATGTGCCCCGAGGGCCACCGCTATCCCCCCTGGAGGGGGAACCACTCCCTAGCGAGGAGCTCCCCACTGACATGAGCAATTCCTCCTCCTCGACCCAGGACGAAGGTGAGGGAAGCCCCGATCCTGCTCTCACCGTGCCGTCTCCTCCCCTTCCAAACCTTGGACTCGAGCCTAGACCGCTTGCCGCTCAACCACCTGTCTTTCCTCCTTCTCCTCAAGCCGAGGTGGACACCTTCTTTTCCGACCTGCCGGGGCGGCTGCTCATTAACGCCGTTTTCCATGTTGGAGCTGAGAGGCTTCAGCAAATGCTCTTCAGTGATTCCCAGTTCATACACAGTTTTTTGGACCAGCGTAAGTTCACAGGTGAGTAAGGAGAGCCGGTCGAATATGGTGGTCAAGGCATGGAGATGGAGGATCCACCGGATTCTTCTCTCCACCTGGTCATGGAACTGACTTGAGTGACTTGGGCCGGTTGATCTCTTTTGTCCTGATCTCTCTCATAGGGTAACTGTAAGGATCCCGTGAGGGGGAGACAGCCCACTTATGCCATCTTGCTTGGAGGAAAGGTGGCATATAAATAAACTGAACAATGAATAAAGGAGGACAGAGGACCTTGTCCCCAGCCACCTGTGCAGTGGGGGTTCAGCAGAGTGTTTGATGCTGCTGATGTCTGTCACTCCACGTGGCTGCCTCTTCCACGGATCCCAGTTTACATGAGGAAGGGCTACTGTTCAGTGTCAGAGAATGTGCTCTGCCAGCTGAAAGTCCTTAGTTCAGTCCTGGGTGTTTCCTACTAGGGTCAACTGACAGTTTGCCAAGCAGAGAGGATGATAGGAGATGTTCTCCAACATTCCTTGAAGGTATCAAATTTGGGAATTGATGCTCTAAAAACCAAGTGTCCATGACTTATTGTTTAGGTTTTTAAACCACTCATCAACTTGCTTTTCATGTTGTTTCCAAAGGGGTAAGGGCCAAATGCAAAGAATTATGGAACACTTTCATAGTGTTACGGACGTTTTTCCTTTCAACGTCCTAATTTTTGCCTGGTTTCTTTCTTTTTTTAGTCTTTTCTATTTTTTAAAAAATGTTTGTGTTATAACTACTGTGCTTGGTATTTGTATAAACATTGATATATTTTGTATATTGATACGTAATACAAGCAAAATCCAGTGATTAATCCTAATTAAAACAGACCCACTGAATCAATAGGTCAACAACTAACCAAGTCTCATAGACTATTTGGGACTAACAGTTGGAGCTAGTGCAATTTTATTCCACATTACAATAACTGTGGACTCTCTCCTAAATATATCACCTTTTCTCTTCCCATCTCCAGATGTGGCACTGACGTCATGGACTGGAGACAACAAGTGCCACCAAAGCCGTGTCATTTCCTACACCATCCCTGTCAACAACCCGCTGGGGCCCAAGGTTGCAGCTGTGGTTGAGACCCAGGTTTGCACTATAACTTTGTAAAAAATAAGATATGTGGGTGAGTGTGATGGGTAAATGTGTCACAGGTCCCATTTTTCGAACCAAGAATTGTATTTGAGTAATTGCTTCCTTTAGAAGAGTGGTTCCCAACCTTGGGCCCCCAGATGTTCTTGGACTAAAACTCCCAGAAGCCTTCCCCACTACCTGTGCTGGCCAGGATTTCTGGGAGTCATAGTCCAAGAACATCTGGAGACTAGTCGGTCTAGAGACCGCCTACAGAACTTTAGAGCTTTCTTGCTTAAAAGGATGTCCTTCAGATGTTTTGGAGTTCACATCCGATGAGGCTTACCATTGTCTGTGCTACCCAGAGATGATGACAGCTGGAATCCAAAACATCTGGAAATGCTCATTTCAGGACAGTTGCTGTAGACCTAACAGCCTGATGGGCGTGAGATGATATGGCATATGACCTTTGCTAGTAGTAAGGGGCAAAGTTGTATGTAAGGGTGTGTATGCGTATGTGAATATAGAGCTCATATTTCTCTTTCCCACTCAACTTTTTCTTTGTTTCTTTGTCAGACTCTGTTCCGTGCCAGTTCCAAGAGTGGGGCCTGTGTGGTCGACTCAGAAGTGATCACACAAGGCATCCCGTACCAGGACTACTTCTACACAGCCCATCGATATTGCATCACTGGGGTGGCCAAGAACAAGGCCCAGCTCAGGTACTAGCGGTGGCATCCCCCATTCCCAGTTGTGCAGGAGAGCCAGGACTCACAGGTTTGAAGCCCTGGGACTTTTTGGTTAATGAAGACGATGCTAATGTCCTTGGACTTTCCTGTTCCCTCTTAACTTACCTGCAGGCCTCACAATAGCTAGCTAGATGGTGAATAGGATGGATTTGCCCCGCAACCATGCACTGTTCGTTCGTTTGTTCGTTCGTTTGTTCTTTCTTTCTTTCTTTCTTTCTTTCTTTCTTTCTTTCTTTCTTTCTTTCTTTCTTTCTTTCTTTCTTTCTTTCTTTCTTTCTCTTTCTTTCTTTCCTTCCTTCCTTCCTTCCTTCCT